CCTCCAGAAAGGAAGGCTAAGCAACGTTCCTTGCAAATCCGACTGGCAAAAGGCCCAGGGGACGGCCAAGATTAACCTGGTGCAAACATACGGAAAGAGTCTGTTCGAGACTCCATTTGTCTTTTGCCGAAGCTCAGACTCTGGTACAGGATCGGGAACGTTGGAAGCTCTCTTTGACGTGTCTGCCTCCGCGACCCGAATAGAGAAGCGGCAATGGAAGATGAAGATGATGATTTTAATAGTCTTAACTTCAGCGTCATTTCACTCTTGATCACGTCACTAACTGCCGTACAAGATTCTTTAGTGGGTTCATTCAGGAGATGAGGTCCCTGCCATATCGCATTAAATGTAGGACTCAAGTGTCTGGAAGTATTAATCATCTTTAATTAGGATTTTGCGCCAGGTAACTGCTGCTTGGCATGGTTAACAGATATTGCAACGGCACAGAACCTAACATTCTGCAAAACAGTGGAAATTTGTTAAACGGTTCGAATCTCGTTTAAATTCGAATGAGATATAAAAACAGCAGTAAACAGTTGGCAATGACTTCTCCACTCCCAGAAAGTGGGGACAATTAAAGATTAGATAGTAGATGAAACAGCTTTCAAGCTGAATAATTTTCAATGCAAAGCACTAAACCGTCTTATGTAGATCAGAGTAGTTCGAGACCGCTTTTATTCGTTCTGTCAATCGTGGAATACAAAGTATTCTTCCTCAACCGTCCAGAAAACTTCGTCTTCAGTACACTAGCTGTAGAATGTTGCACTACACCAGCTCCTAAGACCAGATATTTTCTCACTGCGTTTTAAGGCGTGATCACAACGCACAGCTCACTATTAACCGCCTTTATGAATTAGAAGAAACGACTATCAAACGATGAGCAATTACCCGTTGCTTTGTCACCGTTCATCTGGGCCTTGATCTGTCGTAGCATGGCCGTGATATCGAAGGAGATCGAGGAATTATCCGTGCTTCCGATACTGACGCTGTCGAAGCTGGCGCCGCCGGCATCCCGTTTCTCGTCCTGCTTCATAGCATTGCCGAGGGGATGATTGAAATCGGACGGTAGAAGAACTTCCGGGAAGCTCCTCAGAGTACTCTGTAGAGCGCTACCCTCAGCGGGGCACTTGAGGTTCACTGACTTGCTAAAAGTGACTGATGTGCACACGACGATAACAAGGATAAACAAGTGCTTACTCAGAGGAGCCGTAATACAATACGTCAGGGGGTTCTTGTGAAATCAATGGAGCATACGCCGGTTTATCGAAATGAGGGCCCGCGGGCCCATTTAAGTGCGGCCCCTGAATGGCGTTCTTCGGCGGCTCTCCAAGAAGGACCTTGCGGCGAGAAGGAGCATCTGGCACGCCGACCTTCGAAGCCATCTCCTCGTCTTTAAGCATCTAAAAAATTGCATTAAGTACGCACCATGCTGACAATCGATGTGGTGAAGAATACTTTGTCGTACAACGGTTTGGTAACATCGCTAAGCTTTTCATGACTATATCGGCACTGGCTGCCTTTGCTGCAGGCGTTTTTGTAGAAGAACTTGCAAGGAAACTCGCCATGCAAAAACGAGCATCGTCTGCCGTTGCGACAAAAACCTTGCGCGTAATATTTGCACAGCTCTGGCTTCTTGTCGGCGATCGTCTTTGGCATGTCGATGTCATGTGAAAAGGCACAAGTTTCACCCTAAAAACAAAATAACAATAACGAACAGCAGCAGATGCGATCAACTCAGATCAGATCAAGCGACAAACTAGGACGTACCTCTCGACAATAACCCTCCTTGAAAAATTTGCACGCAGGCCTCTCGCCGCGATCCCAACGAAAACGACGCCGTTTCAGTGTCCCCATCGGTGATTTTGACCGTTTATTATTGCCTTTGGCTACTCGTCCCCCTTTCATTCGACCTTTATTCTACAAATGCCAAGGGGTTATAATTCATTCAATACGTTAGTTATACAAACGTAAACGTGAGGTGCACAGCGAATGCATGAAGCACCTGTTACACGCAGAAACACACAATTTCATAATACAAGATGCATATAAAATAGTATCGTATAGTGAATGTTACACAACGCGTAACTCCTCCAAGACCAGATTTCACGGCGCATGCACCGCCCACTGTTTTTAGTTTCCTGAGAGGGTGGAACATTTAAGCAGAAAATGCATACATCATGATATTAAAGAGCCCGCAGTGTGATACCTCGCATAATCTAATTCACTAAAAGTATACCTCGTTCAAGCTAATCATAAAAGAAGTAGGAGCTGGACTCCTCATACGTAACCGCATAAACATAAAATGATGTTCGTATGCAGAAGTATGCCACACAACGCATAACTTTTTCAAGAACAGATTTCACGGCGTACTGCACCGCCCTTAGCTTCTACTGCCAAGGGGGCCATTTAGGCAGGTCATCGCTATCATCCTCGTCCTTCTCTTATGAACAAGAAACTCTTAAAAACAAGAAGCTCTTCAAGAAACTTAAGAATTCTTTATCAGACCATATGCAATCTTGGCTTACTTTATACACTAACGTCCGTGGTGTTTTGAGAATCCCCTTATTGCATTTACTTTTCACATGAGCTGTACGAATGTGGTATTCGACACAGCCTCCATGTACTGAATTAAGTTCAAGAATAACAAACTGAATTGCAATCTTCATTACAAACGAAAATATAAAAATCATCTTATTAATATGGTGTTTGAAGCCGTACTTGTCCCCTTGCCTTATCAGAGTCTTAAGGAGCATGGTCTTAATAAACGTGGACTGAGAGGTAAAAACGAAAAAAATCTTACATCAGTCTGCGGCCTGTCGACGCTGCCGTCGGCGAAATGGTTGATGTCGCCATCAGAAACGCTTTCGTTCGAATGCGCACGCTTGCTTCGTCTGTCGGTACACCCTGGCTCATTTTTAGGTGCCGAAAATTTGCCACCAGCAGAAATAGTGGCTTTTCTTGACAAAGTACCGGCTCCAGCGGTTCGGGGCCTTTCGTCGATGTCACCGAATTCGTTTGACATGTCTTCGTCAGGGCCTAATTCCGAAGATTCCTCAGGATTTAACTCCAAAATTTCTCCGGCTGATTTACGTCTACAAGCAGTCGCCGCAATACAAAACGTTAGAATGAAGGAAGAAGCGGAACTCTCTACCTGTAGTCCATGTCGTAGGGTCCAACGAGGCGGTAGTCTTGGTCATTAGCTGCACCGACACGATAGTCTTGATCCTTACCGGCGTCTTCTGAGTTCGGTGGAGTTGGCGAGCCCCTGCCGTAATAATCATCGTATGGGTCAAATGATAACGATCCGGACGAATGAGAAGGACTCGGAGCGTTCTGACCCGGCATCGCCCGTTTCTTCGGTTTATCCGTACATCTTTTTATTCCCTTCGCCCAGTTGGATATCATCGCCTCGTTTGGATCTTCAATCTATACCACAAACAGTATGTAACTGCATGACCATACGAATAAGAACATACTGCAAATACTGAAACCGACATGATTATGACTGAAGCATTCTTTTGTGAACATGTGACAACTACCTGGAACAAAACATTGCATACGTGCATCTTAGGATCACCACCTTGAGCCGTTTCTATCTGCATAAGCAGAACGTCTCTGGTTTATTACATAAGCTGCATTTAAAGTACTTTTACCCTAGTTTTGCCATAAGACACCAGCTACTCCATTGAAACAGGAAATATTCTTCTCTAAAAGCAGATCTGCCTCCACTTTCTTCCTTCAAGTTGCATGCTGGCCTCCTGTTCAATATCTGCAGTGTTTCGGCTACCACACGAGAAACTCATGAGCTGGAGTGAATGATGTATGCTCTACCAGTTTCTCTAATAGGGCTGACCTGTTTTTCTTAATCTCCACATCTACCGAGGTGACCAGTGCCCGAAAGAGAAGTAAGTCATTCCTTACGTGGTCCTGCCATTAAACCATCATCATGCGTCGAAGGCAATGCTGCCTCAAGCAGTTCAGCCATCGTTCTTGTTGCCTCGTTCGAACAACTATCTCCATGCACATTGCATACCTAACCAAGAAGTGCTATTCAGTAATAGATCAGTTTGAGCTTCTCAAGATAGTTTTCCATCCGTCGTTACGTAGTAGTACAAACCAATCTCGGAATGCCGATGTAAAACAGAGAAACAACGTAGACCGAACCGTGTTCAAAGCAAATTATGATGGAATTGATGAATCATTAAATGATAAATTATCAGAAACTGGCGCTAACTAGGTAAAGTAGTTAGAAAATGGCAGATTTTTTCATCTACAACATATCTATCCAGAAAAAATTCCTGAAGCAAAAGAAGCTCCTCGCATATAACGGTTGTTAAAGAGAAGATAAACAATGATATTCTCGCTTTTTTGAGATGGTAGACTTGTTATGTTCAGTTTTGCTAGTCACTTACTAATTACTTAGTATGTTGCACAGCAAAATACACTACAACCTGGTTAATTAGAAATTCAAAGGCGTAAAAGATGCGAATAACATAAAATCTGATCAATAAACTGCAAGACTGATTAATTCCAAATTTTTAAAAAAAAAACTCAAGTACCTAAAACACTACAGACAACGCAAAGTCAGCGTAAATGCCGAAAGGTGGGAAGCATGCACAAAGGACAATTAAGTCCAGACCTAGCCCTACGTCTACTCGCGTATAAAAGCCAGTTTCCTCTCTAGATATTACTGCCATTCATTGTCGTCCGGCACAAAATAACCAGATAAAGGCAGTGAACACTAGTTGGCATAAGTAGTAGATGGGCGCATAAACCAAGCACAAAATCTTACGAGCATTATTTGCTTTGTAGCTTGTAGCAATCACCTGCACAAGAATATAAAATCTCAACTTTACAGCAAGTTAAATTCTTCGCCTCCGATCTCAACAGAACACAAACACTTTATCATTACCTTTCAACTAGATTGTATCTACACCTCTTCATCGCCATGTAAGTAAGGTCGCACTGAATGTCATTTGTAATAAGGCATCACCTTATGCAACATTTCGTATCATGAATACTTTACAACTGACGATATGCTTAAAACTTAAAACTATTCACCAGATGGCTTGCAAAGATTGTGAAATGACTTACTGTGGTATGTCAAAAAAACGTTAAAATTTCGCGATGAACAACGTCGAACTTTTTACCACATGAAAAAGATGTTGATTAAAATCAACCAACCAACGCTCTTCTGGTTGAATACACAATTACTGCATGTCTCATTTTTTGAAAAAAAATACAGAGCCACTTATGCTGGTTGCAGCTTCATGACATTACAACAGATACAGTTACAGGCATGAGCGCAGCACAGCTACGCATCATTCTCAAGGTCGAAGAGTAGCCTGCTGATAACATAAGTACAAAAACAATACGTACAATGACAAGAAATCTTACTGAATTTCAAAAATCTCATTGGATCTATAGAAGTAAGGAAGAGGAACGAATATATCGCATAAACGTGGAAAGCGACACATTTTCACTGGGCTGATTATGTTAATCTAACCAACAGCAGTGAAAATCAAGAAATGTTAAGAAACTCAACTTTTCGTTGATAGAACAGTCACTTAGTCAGTGACCGCTTATCATCTTTAGTTGATAAGGAGTTCTTGAGGAAGACGCGTCGTTTAAGCTTCGGCAGATGATAACTCGAGTCCTTCGATACAGCTGACTTAATTTTGGTCGCCCCCTTGGCCTTCCGCCAGGCGGTTCTGTAGATAATAGCTGCTTCGTTTTCCTTTCTGGAAACTTTGTAAGTCGCATCCAAACCACCGCAGTTCTGACATCCCAATTTGAAGAAACAGCAGCTTAATACCATGTCTTTCTCAGATATCTGAACCTCCGGACTTATCGAGACGCGTGAGCTTCGGAACTCGTTTCAGAAAGCCAATTTCATCCGCTTGTACCCCTAATAAGAGTTTTTCAGTCATAGCCTATGACTTATGACCACAGATGACCTCACTGGTAATGTAACGCTTTTAAAAGTTATTTGCTTATTACGTGTCTGCCCGGTGGAATAGCTTGTTCATCGGTACTGTAAAACCTGGTAACAAACTGCTTAAGGTTGGCATAATTCAAAGTTTTAAAGCTAAGAATGAATAAACACATACAAGCATATGCAGAATGATCGAAAACCTCGATAATTCTGATAGTTCAGCTGTTTCTTGTCCGGCCCATTTCGTTTCATTTGCTCTAATCTATTGCAGCACAGAATTCTATTAAGCCAACTTGTGTCCAGCTGTGTAAAAATCAACACTGTATCAGACCTGCGCCCTGGTGTCCCTCGTTCTGTGATGATTGCTCATTTCCTCAGCAAATTTTGCGTCGGTTATATCTACTGAAAAATAAACGTTCATGAAATAAATACTTAAATAATCAACCGATAGTTTCTCATTATTTATAGCCTTTCGTATTTAAAGTCTAATCTTTGGTGGAAACAACCTGCTTCAACTTACGCGATCAAGGTCCAAGTACTTAGAACTCGAAGGCACTTTATTATCAGGTTTCTTCAAGTAAGATGCGGTAGGAGAAGGCGATTTGACCTTCGCCGTGGTCGACGCCATTTTGACGGTCACCTTGAAACCTTTGGCTAGCAACGACTGTG